TACTGAAAGTTGCATTATGATGGGGTTTTATTGCGGGGAGGCATGGTGTTCGAGAATGGGATGAAAAGTATATGTTGATGTTGGGCAGCCAAGAGGATAAGCTGAAGTAGCCGTCGGTCATTCATTTTTGGTCACCAAGCACCTACACTCTCTTCCTGTATTTGGGGAACTCCACTTTTGGAACCTGGCAGCCTCTGTCCTTTCGTAGTAACTGAAATGATCCAACTCCCTCCTTCTTCCCGGCTTTCCTGGAAGCCAGCGCGTGGACAGGTAACAGCCTGCCAATGAGCTGTACCCATTCACTGCACAAGGGAGCATGCTCTCCTCCTTGGCAGTGCAGGTGTCCGTGGCATAGGCCAGCCTGCAGATGCGCTGGTGGTGAAGCCCGGTCTCCTGGGCCAGCTGGTCAGTGGTACAAACGTACACACACTGGCATCCTCACAGGAACAGTGAGGCTTGAGCTGTTCCAGCTACACAGTCTTCAGGACTTGAGAGTAAACCGCTGATGTTGTAGCAAATTCCTTCTCACGGAAGTTGCCACAAAGGTTCCTGCTGCTTGCAAAGTAGAGCAATGGCTGATATACTGGGTTATGAGAATACAGGGCCCATGATCTCCAATGTTAATTTTCAGCACCTGGGACAACATGTACCAGTGGGTGAAGATGAGAGTTTCAGCTGCATGTGACCAGCTCCCTGGAACACAGAAAACCCCAGCACCTGGTTTATTTTCACTTCCTTCTTCTAAAAGCAGCATAGGGGAAAATGAACTGAGAGCTCAAATTAATGAAAAGTCTTATTATGACTGTTCATTTTATTTTGAGAATTACTGACATTTATATCACTCTGCAAGCCTCCACTATTTTTTTTTTTAAACAATCAATGAATCAAGCTCGCCTCAGCAGAATGGCTGTATTTCTCTTTCATTGCATGAGCTTCAAGATTTAAGGTCGACTATAACTGTTACGATTGATTTAATTCCATACAGCTATTCACAATAAAGCTTTCCTCTCAGACAAATTAATCGTTATTTTTCTATATAGTTTCAAAGCTTCTGTGTCAAGTGGCTTAAAAGTTTGTCCAAATAAAGCAAACATTGAAATCTCTTTTGGAAAATAGAAGACCTCATTGTTCCTTCCCTCCTGCTGATGGGGAGGATGCTAATTTTTCTGTTACAATGAAGTAAATTTCCAAATCTGAGCCAACCAAAGACTTTCAGCTTCTACTCTGAAAAGAGTTCACTGTAGCTTTAAGCAACGTCTTCATCAGGTTAATAAAACAAGTGACACTTCTTAAGAGTACTAAGGGGAAATTTATGTTAGAGCTAATTAAACTCAGAAGTTATTAATTTGATCTTTCTAACGTCCACTTTTGTCACGAATTCAACCAATCGAAATTGCTTTAAATTCAATTCATTTTTAACAGCTAAAGATTCTGGGGAATGTCATTCCTGCATTTAACAAATGGTTCGTACGTCTACATTTTTCTTCTGCAGAGTCTACAATATACCAATAGTTCATGTAAAGTCAAAGTCATCCACGCTGTTTTATGAGTCCATTCCTCAAGCTGTGCCACGGAACTCAGAAGGGGCCATGTCAAAATAATCAATGTGGCGATTCCTGCCTCAAAATGATAAATAGATAAAACAAGTCACCCAGTTTCTAAGAGGTGAGAGTTGGAAAAACAGCTTCACGGAAATTGTTTCAATTTTCTATTTCCAGGAGTGTCTAATTTAAATTTTTATATTTGCCCATTTGTGTATCTGACAATGATATATATTTATCATTTTTCATGATTTTTGCTTATGGGAAACAAACACCAGCATTTCGTGTAACAGCCGGAGAGCAGGTGTCCCAGATCACTATGGCACGGCCCTGGGCTTGGCACACAGCCCTTCCTGGTGGGCGCCGCACCTCCGCCAAAGTGCCAGCAGACGAGAGCCCGCCGCTCCAGCACATCCCGCGCGGAGATGTGTGCCTTTTGAACCACTTAGTTCACACAGAAACAGCCGTTCTGACTTAAAATGTTAGAGGAAAGGAAACAGTTAAAAACAGAAGACAGGCTACTCTGCGCACACAGTTCAAGTTTGCAAATACTTAGTTTACAAAGCTGTTACTTCACTGGATACTCACAACATAAAATTGGTACCTAACAAAGTTGCAAAATGCTGGATTTGTTGAAAGCACTGCCCTGCCTGGATTCTATCCTCCACAAGCAGGAGCAGGAACGTTCCCTCCACTTCTCTGAGCCTCGGTTTCTCTCACTGTACAATGAAATGACTGGGCTTACCCTCGGTGAACTGCGGCAATAGCTACCTAGACGCTGCCTGGAACAGAAGGGTCCGAGGCCCTCGCTGAAGGGTGCTGTTTTCTTGTTGTTTGTGTTTTTGGTGAGCGTGCATATCTTTTTCTTACGGCGCAGCCCTGGACCCGCTGTCTGAGAACAGTCTTGTTGTGCCGCGGAAGCTTGAGGGGCGAGCACTGCACCCTGGTCTCTCGCTAGGACGCATGAGGAATGACACGTGGACTTCCATTTGCTGGAGATTCACACTGCGCTTCATTCCGGAGAACAGTCGGTGCGGCCGTGTACTGACTGCACACGGGCTTGGCTCGGAGGACGAGCCTCATGCTGCGAGTCCTGTCTGCAGGTGCGGGACCGCCTTCTGGACTCCCCCGGCAGGGACCCCCTTCAAGAAGCGACTGCCTGTCTGGGAGACACTGAGTTCTCTAACAGTTTTACCTGGACCAGAGGGGACGGAAGTTGGTCACGTAAGTATTTATAAAGTGTGCTAGAAAGTATAAAGTGGGAGAGACAAAGGGCCACGGGAATCACAGGAAGGAGAGAGCCAGCTGCAGGGACCAGAGAGGAGGCCGAGGAGGAGAAGCCGTTTTCGCCACGTGAAGATGGTGGCGGTCCATTCAGGCCCAGAAAGTGGGGTTGGGGGATGAGGAAGTGGAAGCATGACTCTAAGGTAGGCAGTGTCTTTCTTGTCAGATTGTGAAGGAGAAAGGGAAGCTTGAGGCTGGGCTGTAAAAAGTTCAGGGCACCATCGATGAAGGCTGTTCTTCCAAGTAAAAGCATATCCCTAGTTTACCGCTGTATAACTTTAAATTCTCATGCATCAGATAAGTTTCATTCTGTCATAAAAACATGTCCGATGTTTCGCTCAGCCATTCTCAAAGACCAGGGACTTTGGAAAGTGGTACCGTGGACTCCCGAACACTGTCCGGAGACCTCGGCCTGCAAACTCCAAGTCACTTGGGCGCGGCTCCCTTCTCTGTTTGGAGAGGGGTCAAGACCTTCCCTTCTAACAGGGCTGCACTCCACTGAAACACTCGGAGCGAACTGCAGGCCCTCTGGGTAAGGCTGACAAACAATCCTACTGAGAAAACAATGTTGTCAAATCGACTGAGAACAAATATACCCACTCCCCAATTTCACGTATACTGTTAACTGTGGTGCTCCAAAGGGAACTGTGTACATTTTTTAATGCCTTTAAATATTTAGGGACAAGGTTTGGAATATCTTAGCTTTTTGTACTTGCATTTTTATTTTTTTACATCAAGGGATGATTATCTCTGAGTAGATAAAATTATAGGTGTTATTTATTGATTGGGTGTTATTATCTACTGATTGGCTAATCTGTATTTTCTGGTATTGCTTTCTAAAACATTTATGATGCATCAGGCCCTACAGAAGTACATGGGGAGCAGGAGACATGGGACTTCTGCCCTAGGACCTGAGCAATGCTTGCTCCGTGTGTGTGGCACCATCATCACACACTTCTAATCTTTGAAAGATCTGAACAGAAAGCAAGTGTTTCAATGGCCAGCCTCAAGGATTGGCACCTACTGCCACCTCTGCCCGAACTGTACACCTTGTTGACATCACAGGCTCTGGGCTGGCACGCCGCTGCCCAGGGCGGCCTCCTTGGCCATCCTTCCTAAGATCGCCTCCTGTGTGGCCAAGCCACTCTTTACCCTCTCGCTCTGTTTATTTTTACTAAAAATATTTTATTTGCTTACTCAAAACAATTATCTGTATACTTATTGTTCATCATTGATTACGAGGAAATGTTCAATGAGGACAAGAACTTTGTTGTAAGCAACCGCCTTCGGGGTCTCAAATGGAGAGACAGAGGGTGGGCAGGGAGCAGAGATCGGGGTGGCCTGTGTCAACTGCTCCTCATTCCAGCACCTGCTGTGAGTCAAGTGTTCTGGGTCTGTCTGGTCCGCCGGCCGACGCTCTAACCGCTGAGCCAAACCGACCAGGTCTCCGTTTTTATTGTTCTAATATGTTCGAGAAACAAACTCTGCAACTGAGCTTGTTCTGGGTGCCCCTGTGGGTAGGGCCCTTGAGGAGAACATTCCTGCACGGCTTCCCTTTCCTTCCAGGCCGTCCTGACCTGGCACAGGAGCACCGTGGACGGGACCTCATGTCAGGAGTTCAGAAAGAAAGGGAGAGTGAAGGTTCTCAGAAGTGGGCCAACAGAGAGAGAGAAAGGAAACGAGTATTTAAAAGCCATGGCTCAGGCTATCTTAGGAGGGTGGGCTCACACCTGTGCCACAGGAGTGCCGCTGTAATTGTTTCTAAATCACGGCCACAGCAGCAAACTGCCAAACCAACTTCATGTTTGGAATTCTTCCTACAAATGTCCTGACCACGTACACAAGGCTAGGTACTCCAGAAGTGTCTAATCTTTAAAAAGCCCAGCTTCAGAGGTCCGGGCACACTGCCACTCCTGTTCCAAAAGTTACAGTGTTCTAGGACACAGCGAGCACGGGGCATGCTAATGATGAATACTGGTTACTGACAAATACAGAATGAAAAAAACAAAAGAAGAGGGAAGAAACACGTATGCACCCATCACACCTGCCTGATGAAAAGACATCTTCCAAATGCAGCTAAGCGTCGGCCAGGGAAAGTAGGTTGAGCTCGAGTGTGTGCTGCATACCTGTCATTACCAGTGGCCTCACCCGAGCACTGCTGTCAACAGAACTCACCTGCAAGCAGATGGCTAGGTTCACTCGACAGCCAAACGAGGTGCTGACAGCCCGCGGGTGGAGGCCCAGGTCTTTGAACAGTTTTGAGAAGGACTGGGTGAGTGCTATTCGAGGCCGCTCCTCTGCTACCACCACGCACGTCCGCACACGGGACAAGTCCAGCCCTCGTGCCTGGAAACAACAGCAGTAAGAGATCAGCTTTCTGAGTGCTCAGGTGTGTGACCTCCTTACCCAGGCCCATCCACACAGCAGATATTAATTTCCAGGGTCCAACGGCTCCACGCCATTAATTGAAACATTTAGGATGTTTCTCTAAACATCTGTGTTAAAAAAATCAATCAGTCGATCACAGAGAACAGATTATCAAGGATGTCGCTACAAACATATTTTAAACAACAGCAAGAATGAGGAGGACAGTGCCCGGCCAGTGTGGCTCAGCGCTGACCCACGTGCCAAGAGGTCAATGGTTTGATTCCTGGTCAGGGCACATGCCTAGGTTGCGGGCTTGACCCCTGGTTGGAGGGTGTGCAGGAGGCGGCTGATACATGTAGATGCTTCTCTCCCTCATTGAGGTTTCTAGCTCTCTCCCTCTTCCTTCCTCTCTCTAAAAAAAAAAAAAAATCAATAAAAAACATTTAAAAAAAGAATGAGGAGGAGAAAGGTTGAGAAGAAGCAAGGTCCTGGATGAAATAAAGGGCAGGGTTTGGGGAAGAAAGGAAGCATTTGTGAAAACTCCTATGGACATGGATACACAGGAACTGGAGAGAAATGAGAAAACTTTTATTTTTTTAATTGATTTTAGAGAGAGAGAAACATCAGTCAGTTGCCTCCCATGCACTCCCCAACTGGAAATCAAACCCAAGACCCCTCGGTGCCCAGGACAGCGCTCCAACCAACCACACCCGCCAGGGCAAGAAAACTTTTTTTTAACACAGGAGTGGAAACCTAAAATATTTGGACAACTTTTAGAAGGCAGCTCTCCTTTTATGTCCCATGAGACTTCAAAGGTCACAGACAAACTCTCATAATTAAGGGCACCTCTGTTCTGCACCAAATTCAAGCAGCTGAGCAAAACAGCAACACTCAGAGGAGGAGAAATCAAGTGAGTTGGCACACACTCCCCGTGGTGACAGCTCGGGCTTCACGAGAGCTGGGGGCGCGCCTGAACGGGAGTGAGCAGACACTGGTGGTGTCTCGAGGAGGACAATTGCCACAAGCAGACTCACTCGGTCCTTGATGCAGGGAGAGCTGACAAGGCTCCTGAACCAAGGAAGGAAACACACCGGAGAACACTGACACGGAAGTTTAGTGCACAGACATGACTTTGTAGACATCGTTGCACAGGAAACGTTCAACTCTTGGTAATACAAATGATTTACACGTGTATGTTCTGGGAGACAGTGCAGCCTGGGGTTTGAGATGGTGGACCTAGAGCCAGAGATTCACGACGTATTAAATGTAAGAATTTGGAAAGGGTGCTTAATTTTTCTGTATCTTAAGTTTCTTCATTTAAAAAATGAAGACAAACCCTGGCCGGTTTGGCTCAGCAGTTAGAGCGTCAGCCTGTGGTCCCGAGAGACCCGGGTTCGGTTCCCGCTAAGGGCGTGTACCTCAGTTGCAGTTTGTCCCCGGCCCTGGTTGGTTGTGCGGGTGGCAACCACTCGATGTGTCCCTTTCACATCAATGTTTCTCTCTCTCTCTCCCTCCCACTCCATCTGAACAAAATGTCAAAAAATGTCCTCAGGTGAGGATAAAAAAAAATAAAATAAAAAATGAAGACAAATCATGGTTTCTAGTCCAGAGAGCTGCTGTGAAGGTTAAATGAATCAATATGTAAAGTGCTTCGCCCGGCCGGTGTGGCTCGGTGGATTGAGTGTGGTCCCATGGACTGAGAGGTCCATGTTTGATTACTGGTCAGGGCACAAGTCTGGGTTGTGGGCTCGATCCCCAGTAGGGGTTGTGCAAGGAGGCAGCCGATTGATGTTTCTCTCACATCGATATTTCTATCTCTCTCCCTTCCTCTCTCTATGAAAAAATCAATAAAAACTTATTTAAAAAATATGTAAAGTGCTTAGAAATAACTCAGTTACGATATTATTTCACTTTGGTTATTTATGCACCTGTAGGGAAATTTGATGAAGTGTACTTGTTTATTTCATAATGTAATATAGGTGAACACGAGTAATAATTATGTTTTATAAATTTCTTTTCCTGCGTAAATATATAACTTCGAGTAACTATATATTTATTTATATAACTTAGTATCAAAGTTATCTCACATTTTATTTTCCTGTTCAATTCTAATACATTAAGTCTAAAAAGGAAAACAATTCAGGAGAAATAAACGTATTGCTTTTCTAGTTGTATGTGCACACACACACGCGCGCACAAGGACAATCTGCATACACACACACAGCAGTCCACACATCTGGGCATGTACACAGTCAACAGTAGTTGGAATACAAATTAAAACAGGTGATATGATGATTTCCTCCTAGTTACTTGGATAAAGGCTACTTAATTTACCATGAAAATATGTCCATCAAAATGTCCTTGGTTTAAATGGAGAGAAATGCTGTTACTGTCACTCACACACACACACACACACACACACACACACCACTGTTCTCTTAACTGTAAAATGAATTTTGGCTAGGACTGACTAAGACCTATATAAGTCAAGGTCTTCAAGGTAAGCAAAAACAGTGGCTGAATTCAAACCTATGATTTGAACACCAGTGCCAGAATAAAATTAACTGTGCTGAAGAACTCAATTCACCAACAAATAAAAAACCAGTTTAGGACCTTAGAGCAGACCTGATGGAATTAAAGACATCAATACATACACTTGCGCTCTTTGTCACAGTGGGGAAATTTTCATGTTATAAAACAGTTTTCACATGAAAACAATTTGTAAGCCTCGACTTTTGTGAAGGGTTATTTTAACTTCACCAAACCCTTTCATGCCCTTGCACACTGTGTCATCCTAGGACACTAGCAGTGTTCTCCAGTGAGGGGGGTGAGGGCTGCTTACCTTGAGGGATTCTGTCTGCGACCCCAGCCCTTTGGTACAAAGTTCCATCACCGAATAGGAGCAAAACGTGTCCCGAACTTTGTACTGACTGACGGCGAGGAGCCACAAGGCAGGGTTGGTTTCCAGCTCTGAAGGCGGGATGAGAATGGACTGATGCCCAGAATACACGCTGCAGAAAGAAACAGAGAGGTCAGCAAGGACTCAGAAGAGGGGCCAACGTGTGCCTGAGAAATATGCAGTGGTCCATGTGCAAGAGAGGGACAGTCACAGCCACTCTACTCTGAGGTACTTTTAAGTATAAAATGAAAGTATGCTGCTGGGTCAGTGTGGCTCAGTGGCTGAGCTCTGACCCATGCACCAAGAGGTCGCAGGTTCAATTCCCAGTAGGGGGCGTGCAGGAAGCAGCCGACTGATGTTTCTCTCTCTCCCCCTTCCCATTTCTCTAAAAATCAGTTTAAAAAAAACCCATATTTAAAAATAAACAAACAAACAAACAAACAAAATAAAGGGCATTCATGAAAACATTCTGAAAAGCACAAAAGAACTACGGAATGATCGTCCAGAGTTACTACCGCGTTGAGCACGCACGTAAAACATTGAAGCCGTGATGCAGCGAGGTTTCTCTCAAAGCTGGTGCACAAACAGACTGGGTTCCTTTCACCGCAGGAAGCACAGAACTGCATTTTGGGAAAATGTCTGCAAGTTCGGAGCAGGAATTAGCAGACCACAGATGCTGCCTGTTTCTGTCAATGGGGTTTTACTGGGACTTGGCCACTTGCTGGTTTAAGCAGGGCTCACAAAGGCTTTGCCCCAGCGGGCAGGGCTGAGTGGGTGCACCAGAGCCCAGGGAGCCCAAGATACTTACTGAAGGGTCGTGTGAGAAAAGCATGCCTACCTCTGGTTTGGAAAACCGACACCCAGAGTAAATGAAAGAAAATCACAATTAGACAAAGTTCGCCACTCAATTTTTAAGGTTTGAAATTTTGCTTCAGAATAAGCAAAACAAATCACCAAACAGGAGAACTAAGGAAAATACATTCATTCTTTAATTTTACCTTTAGATTAGAGAGCGTATTGAGTGAGATGCTAGATGACACATTTTGACCTGTCATCAATTGGGGGGACAAGTGTGGCTTTAAAATAATGAAGTATTTGTCAAAACTACATTTGAATGGTTTTAATTTTTGTGGGTTATGATTATAAATCAATATTAATAGATGTCATGCATTAATGAAAATGGCCTAGATAAAGCTCCTTCTAAGATTTAAGTAAAAGGGGTTTATTTCCTAGGCACAAAAACATCTGAGAGATGTAAAGGCACATTAAGCTCCAATGCTGTGTCATGATCTAAAGCCGATTCTTCTTGAACGAAGCCAATCTCACATTAAAACATTCAAAACCGCCCTGGCTGGTTTAGCTCAGCAGTTAGAGCGTCGGCCTGCAGTCCAGAGAGACCCAGGTTCGGTTCCCGCTAAGGGCATGTACGGCGGTTGCAGTTTGTCCCCGGCCCTGATGGGTCGTGCGAGAGGCAGCCACTTGATGTGTCCCTTTCACGTCGATGTTTCTCTCTCTCTCTCTCCCTTCCACTCTATCTGAACCAAAAATCGAAAATGTCCTCAGGTGAGGATAAAAAAATAAATAAATAAAACGTTCAAAACTCTTTACAGTAGGATCCAACTGGTTAAAAACAATGTACGGAAATTAAGTTGGCTCGCAAAATCTAAACAGGGCCCTTAGAAGCAAAATGATTCTTCGGGGTACTTGGGGGCAAGTTTCTTTTCTCTCCCTGTTCCTCTATTTCAATGTTTTATTTACGTTCGTCAAGGGGAAAGACAGCAAATGACCTTTTCTGAGATCTTTTTAAAGGATTTGATCATCTGAGATTTGTCCTCAGGAAATTAATTTAGGTCATTCATGATCACTTTATATTAAGGGTATTCAAGAGATCAAATAGCACTACAACATACACATGTGCATTGCAAGATATCAAAATAAGCCGGCATGTCTTGTTTCTTACTTTTGGGACATACTGTATTATTCTTAAAATAACTCTCTAGAGCAGTGGTTCTCAACCTTCCTAATGCCGCGACCCTTTAATACAGTTCCTCCTGTTGTATGTGGGCGTATCTGCATGTGGGCGGACCCGCTTGGAGATGATAGAGGAGCGGTGTCTCGGTTCCTAAGACCATCGGAAATATGTCTTCCCCTGTGAAAGGGTCATTCGACCCCCAAAGGGGTCGTGACCCACAGGTTGAGAACCGCTGCTCTAGAGCTTTACACTTGGGGTCTGAAAACAAACCAAAGTTTCCTTTGTTCCAGCAATACACCCAGGGGCCAGCAGAGGCTAGCACCATCTTTGGACACCGACGGTCTTCTCCAGGGGCTGACAGCTGAGACACAACACACTCCTCTCTCCCGCAAAGACCTGCTCCCAGAAGTGGGATGCCTCTGAAAATGCTGACAACAAGCAGAAGGAATTCCCACGACTGAATTCTGTTGGAAGCTATTATCTTGTTTTGCTACCGTGGGTGGGCACAGTCGTTCAGTCCCACTCGGTCACCTGCCACACAGGTTGCAGAACCAGCCTGCACACTACATCTGGTGTGACTGAATTAGAGCTGTTCTTAGTAGCTCTCAAGTCAACTCCAATTAGAAGCCTCAAGGAAGCATGAAGCAGGAAGAAATAAAAATAATGGAAAAGTTACCTCTGCTGAATGGATATTAAAAGGATAATGTCAGGGCCCAAAGTGGGATCCTATACCAGGTCAAAGATCTTATGTGTATAATCTAATGTGCAGGTGTAATAAGATCTAACAAGCCTGCACGTTGCGCATCTTATAAATCCAAGTTATTCACTAGGAAGCACACACCTTTCCTCTTTGAGGGTTTATGGGGCAGTTTCTTGTTAACACCAAATGTTGTTCAACCCACCACCACCTTAGATCACCCTGTGGACTACCGCAGCCCGGATCTCCACAGCTGCTCCTTCACACCTAGGACTTTTCATCTTCAGTGCCTGTTGCAAGCATACTGATGGGACCTGAACCTCACCTTAGGGAATTAAGATGGAGGGGAAACCTTATGATGCTATTCCTAATACAACCATCTGTCATTTCCATATTGTTCCCAGCATCTTACTGCATAAATGCTATAGCATAAAGAGATCCAAAATGAAGAAAATTAAGTACCAACCACCCAGTACCTTTCTCAAGAATCTATATCAGGAAACATGATTTTCTTGATTAAAAGCATTAGCACATGAATGGGTGGTCAGCGTGGTGTAGAATTCAGGGCTAGAGAATGTCAAGTGTAACTTGTGAAAATTAATAGGACAGAAGTCAACAGAAGCAGGATAGAAAACATTAATAGGACAGGAGTCAACATTAAGAAGAAAATAACCCTGCTAACAGAGGACAAGCAGAAAACCTGACTCATGAAGTTTCTGCTTGCCCTTTCCTTGCCCCGCCCAACAAATGTTAACGGTTTTGTTTGTTAACCAATGTCGATGTCTTGGCACTGGCTATACATGCCTTCATGGACAAAACAAACCTACTAAAAAGGCTGCTTATAACGAATTATGATGATTTTCTGAGAATTTCTGGAACCTGAACTATTCTAGTTTAGATAGTAACTTCAAAAAGAACAAAATTATTACAAAGACATTTAGGGAATATTTCTCCTTGTCTGTGGCCCGTCTTTTCATTCTCTGAACAGTGTTTTCTTGTTTTGTGTTTTTTTGCAGAGCAGAAACTATTAATTTTAATGAACCCCAGCCTATCAATTCTTTCTTTCATGGGTTGTATCTTTGACAGCATATCTAAAAAGTCATCACCAAACCCCAGGTCATTTAGGTTTTCTCCAGGAGTTTTATCTTTTACAGTTAGGTGTCTGCTCCACGTGGAGCTAATTTTTGTGAAGGCTGTAGGTTCTGTGTCCAGGTTCATTGGTTTGCGTGGATGTCCAGGTGGCCCAGCACCATTGATGAGCAGGCTGTCCCTGTTCCCCTGCACTGCCTTGCTCCTTGGCTAAAGACTGGTAGACGATACACATGTGGGCTTATTTCTGGGCTCTCTACACCACTAAGAGTGAACTCTAATGTAAATTTTGGGCTCTGGGTAATGATAATGTGTCAGTGTAGGTCCCTAGGTAGCAAAAAAATGTGCCATCTGGTGGGAGACGTTCATAACGGAGCAGGCATGTGTGGGCCAGGGACAGAAGGATATCTCTGTATCTTACATTCAATTTTGCTGGGAACCTACCTGAACCTGCTCTGAAAAATAAAGTCTGTTTAAGTAAATATAAATAAAAACATGGCTGAGCAGGAGAGAAAAAAAGACACTTTGGTAACAAATAGAAATGTGCACGTTTATAATTGAGTGACTTTATTTTATTTATTTTTTTATCCTCACCCAAGGACATTTTTTCCATTTTTTGTACAGATAGAGTGGGAGGGAGAGAGAGGAAGGGAGAGAGTGAGAAACATCGATGTGAAGAGACACATCGAGTGGCTGCCACCCGCACGACCAACCAGGGCCGGGGACAAACTGCAACCGAAGTACGTGCCCTTAGCGGGAACCGAACCCCGGTCTCTCCGGACCACAGGCCGACACTCTATAACCGCTGAGCCAAACTGGCCAGGGCTGTAATTGAGTGACTTTAGATGATTAACCTGACAGGACATACAGACAATCGAAAACGACCACAACGTGAGCACTGTGAGCAGGCAGTGGCTGGTTCTCTGGGACACGCATAAGCCTTGCCACGTGGGTGCACCTCACGGACCTGCCAGTGTCTACTAGGCATGTCAGTGAATCCAGTAGTGGGCTGTTTTCTGTTTTTTTTATGACAGTTTTGTTTAGCTATAATTTGCATACCATGAAATCCACCCATTTTAAGCACAGAATTCAATGGGTTTTTGTAAATTACAGAGTCGTATAATTAGCATCATAGTGCAGTTCTAGAACATTCCATCATGCGAAAGGTAGGCTGTGCCCATTGGCAGTCAAACCTGTTTCCAACCCTCGCCGTAGTCAACCATCATTCTCCTTTCCATCTCTATAGACTGGCCCTTTCTGAACACTGCGTGCAAATGGCATCATGGTACAATCATATAATGTGTGGCCTTTGGGGTCTGGCTTCTTCCACTCAGAACAGTGCTATGGGGTCCGT